GCAAATGGGAATGATGAGCTGTAAACAGAAATTGAAGTCGCATGGTGCTCGTCTCTGGACGTTTTACCACGCTGACAAAATAAGTGTTTGGTGTAATTACCGTGAAGAGCAAACAAGACATATTCAAGGTGGATTGCTCTTTGATCTTCTGTTGACAAGCTGGCCTTTCAATGTCATTTGAGGTGCAATTTGATTTCCATTGTTATGAAGCATGCAAGTCTATTGCTGTGGAAAATACCAGGTGCATAATTTCAGCTGCTTTTGTCAAACCTGGTGGTTAAATGAAGCGGCGTCGCCTCGACGCCCTCCTCATTCTTTTTTGCTGTGCCTATTTTGCTGTGCCGCTTTGAACTCCGCCAGCACGGATTCTTCCCTGACATGCACTATGAAAAGACGTGCACATCCACAACAGAAATAAATGTCCCCTAACAGGCCATAAGTATCTCCAACAATCCGTGTCACTCCGAAGCCCCGTCCGCTCAGCCCGGGAGGTCAGAGCACTTCCCTTCTTTAAAAGCCTCTACCGCCACCGGCCCGTTCAGAAAAAAAGGCTCCTGTTGCGTTGCTGCCTTATTTATTTTTCTTCCATGACAACGGCTGATAAACGGCTGCACAGCCCACTTCTCCTTATTTGCTCGGGATTGCCTTGTAGAGGAGGGTGAAAGAGGAATAAAGGGGGCGGGGAGAAAGAGCTGTTTTCAGATCCTCACTCCCCAGCTGGGAAGCTCCACCGCTCTCTATCGTGGAGCTGCTATTCAGGTGACAGGGGCAACAGGGGAATTAGGGTAATTGGCCGACTGGATCTTTTCCCTAAAGCCCCTTCTGTCCTCCACTCTCACTTCCTAGAAACAGGTGGCACTCTTTGTCGGGCACCGTGGCCATATGAGTGGAGTTAGTGGCATTCCACATGACAAAGACAGAGCCAACTATAGATCTAGGGAAGGGTCATACCCGCCCTCCCCCTCCCCGATCTCCCATTAGTCATCTCTGGAGTCCGGGGCCTGGTCAGGAATGCCAGGAGGGGCAGGATGTCTATTGTAGAGGGTACACAGCGGAGAATGTTTGCCTTCCCAGCAGGTCCAGCAGCTCCACAGGGGCAGCTCAGCGGGAGGCCGCAGCGGAAAGGGGCAGTGGGACGGAGAAAGGAGCGGACTACAATTAAAAAGAAGAGGAAGAGAGCGCTTTCCCAAGCTTTAAGTTACAGGCACCTGAAGGCGGGGGGGCTCTCGCGGGCTTTTGAAGCGTGGAGAGGTGGGAGGCTGACTTTCCCCCTCCGTCTCCCCCCTCCACAAAGGGCTGCTGCTTTAGGAGGCATTCCTCAAATATCTCCGCCGCCTAGTACCACCCTGCCATACATTTCATCTGAACCCTCCCCTCTCCATCCACTGCTGCACAGACTGTCACACTGGGATTTTCTGCGAGGTCCAGAAAAACACCAACCAGACAGAGAGAAAAGCAAAGAAACGAGGGAGCGCTGAGAAAGAGGAGAGAGTGTCTCTGCTTTTTAACCCCCTCTCTCCTGCGCCTCCAACAACAAACAGTGCAGCTCTGACTGTCTGGCTGGCTTGCTGCAAGGAAAGAAGTCACTGTTTTGGGTTTTTTTGGTTGGGTCAGCAAATCCAATGCTATCAATGATTCATAATGTTGTCAAGGGTGCATCACATCTACAGAAAGTTGGCTCTCCTCTTCGAGAACAGCCTGCAGCTCATGATGGGAGAGTATCATCTCAGCAGGTCTACGCTCAAACCTGGAAACTTTATCCGATTTCTAAACAGAAAATCTGACTTGGACAGTAAGAACTATAGTCTGTTCTACAAATTTTATAAATTGCCCTTTAATCTACCCTACGTGAAACCTGTCCGTCACTTTGTCTCAAATGAAACCCACTGAAACCTCTGTGTTTCCTTCAGATGATGGAGACGAGCCTGGCAGCCCTTATCAGATCGCAGAGAAACGAGAGAGTGCCCGGTGAGGGAGCAGAGCGAAAGCGTATCTATTTACTTCAGTTTTTTTCCCCATCTTCAGCTTAGCTCGCTCATTCCGACCATTTTTCAGAGCAAAATTGACTTCAAATATTTGCCTTGATGCGGGCGGCGCCTTCGCCTCAAACTTCATTAGCCGTGGGAGCGGCGAGGGCGAACCCTCCCGAAAACTTCACTCTACAACGGTGCGTGAAAGGTAAACACGTTCTGCATTCAGAATGGCAGGGCTCACTTAAGTCTCCTTATCTCGGTGATGAAGTGCTTTCCTCCCCCGGCTCTCAGGATACAGGCCTCTGCACTTCCCCAAACAAACCTGTCAGATGGAGCACACACGTGCAACAACACCCACCCCCCCGGACAGACTCCACTCAGTAAAAGGCTGTTTTACCCTTTTACGAGCATTACTTTGAGTGCTTCTTGTTTGGTTTTGCAGATAACAGCCATGTTGGGGAACATGTGGTGCATGTGTGTTCCATTTGCCCACTAATTAGATTGCAAGGCAGTGCACTGAAGCATGCATTGTGGCCCACTCTGCCAGTCCATCTGATAAGGAAGCCATTCTCATCAGTTTCCATTTATGTAAGGGCTGATTTGGTCTGTGGAGCTGCGACGGGAAGTCTGATGGGTCCAACGCAAATCACACCCAACTACTGTCTACGGACACATGAGTAACTATTCCCCCATTCCATAATCCAGTTACCTATGACATGCCTTGTCAGCGATTAGAACAGCAGCCCACTCTCATGTTACATCGAGCCGTAATTTGAAATTAAGGAGGAAAAAAAGGAAAATGGATTTCACGTCATGGCCTGTCGTTGCCGGCTAAAGCCAAAGGGAAGCGGCACGAGGCGGAATACATTGTGAAGTGGAACTAAAGTCCCATGAAAACCACTGCATTAGAAACATTAAAAATGAAACGGCATGCCGAGGTAAAAATAGGAAACAAAACTGTGGGTCAAGGTCGACCCCGTTTCCCGGTGCAGTCTCTGTGTGGCCCACATGAATCAGAGACTTACTTGTTTCACAGCCGTCTGTCGGTGTCATTTGTTTTGGGTTTCTCTAGACGAGTGGCTCATATCATCCTGACCACACTTTGGGTATGACATAGTCTGCTCTACATGTAATGACTAAGGAAACAGGGCAGACAGCGAGAGAGAGTCGCTCACAGAACAAACAAATTCACGACACAAACTTCATCTGCGAGAACAAGGTAACTGGCAATCTGCAAATTCGGCGGCTGCTAAATGAAAGCGTCGAGCTCATTTGTAATTGACACATGGATGGATCGCTGAGCCCAAAGCCCGCCCTCCTTTCAACTCTGTAAAAGAAAAAAGCAGCTTTCGTTGAGCCTGAGGGGGCCAAATTCTTTTTACTGCGTGTGTTTAGAAACAGGAAATTCATTCCTGACTAATTTGATTAGCGCCAGCATTGTTTCTGCTAACACCCCCCTCCCTCCCCCTGTCCCTTCCTCTCCCTCTCCCGCTCTCATTCTAACTTGAGGATGTTGGCAGTTTAACAGTCTCTCTGGTGCTGAAATCGGACCCAAAAAGAAGAGTCAAGGAGCATCCAGCTTTCAAAAAGATGGCCGTATTCGGCCTGCCATAAATCTCTGACAGCAGTAAAGAAAGGTTAAAGTGGGATTGAGATCCGGGATTAAAAAAGAAAAGAAAACACACCCTGCAGGCATATACGGAATGGGGTGGGGGGACACTGAGGGAGCACAAAAGAAGCAAAGGGTCCAGGTTTTTTGGGTGGAGCAGTGATACAGTAACAGGATCCAGCAAAGCCCTGTACTCTCCCGAGCCCTGTAGCGTAAACAAACAGCTGAGACAGTGCAGGGCAGAGGCACCGGCACACGCACTAAAACCACACACACACACACACACACACACACACACACACACACACACACACAGACAGACAATCAGAGGGAGGCGGTCTGCCCAGGCAAGGCTCACCTCAGGGCACCCACACTGACACAGCCTCATCACATTACTGTCTGTCTCCCGTTTCATCGGCTTAAACCATCTATCTGACTACAGGTTAGCCGCTTAGCTCTTTGTTTGATGCGACAGCTCGCGGCTTGCAAGTCAAATAAGGATCAGTAACTAACTGTCGCTAAGGGATTCACCTTAAAAAATAAGTCATTTCACCAAGTTTAGAGTTTAAATCTAAGTGAAAGAAAACAGATGAGTCAGATCATTTCACTTGTTTCCAGCTCCGACATTAACAGAGTGACTGCCTGATTAAAATAGGCTGAGTTTTTTATTTTTATTTTATTGAGCCCCACTCTTGGAAGTTATTACTTGTTTTGGGGGAGTAATGGGATTTTATGAGCAAATGTGAAAGTAAATGGCTCATTAAGATGGACATTTTTTCTTCTTCTTGCAGTGCATAAAGTAACCATGGTTAATGGCCTCCGGTGAACCCAATAGGCCTTTTGCAAAATTACTGCAATTCAAATCAATATCACACACCGGTGACTTCACTCCACGAGGACGGGAGGCGAGGGCATTCCAAAACCAGATGGCAGGGAAGGGACATTCCTGCATGCCCTGTGTAAGGGCAGAGCAGGATCGCATTGGTGCGGCTTCAGTGAGCCTGCCGACACTAGATGGCGCAGTTTCATGTGCAATATGCATGAGGGGAAGGGGGGAATGAGTGTCACACACACCCACACTCACACACACACATGAAAGGAAAACACATGTATATATGCTATGAGATATGAATGTGTTTGTTTGTGTGAACAGCTTCTACGCAACCTCTCATGGTGTAATGGCTCCCAAAGTGAGCTTCCCAGACAGATTCATTTCACTAATAATGTTATTTCATTCACTCATTTTTGCAAAACAAAAGCAAACTGAATATTTTCACTCTATCGTCCTTATTCCAGACTAACTTTAAATCAGATTGGGGCCCTCGGAGACAAAAAACATTCGATAAATTCAGTTTTTTTTGGGGGAGGGGTACCAAAAGCACATCTGTTTTCCATAGAAAATATTGTGGTGTACTTACTTGCACTCCCGGTCCTCCAGATCGAAATGCGGATTGAAGTTGATGAGGATCCGCTGGTGAGGACCAGGCGCCGATATCACCCACACGCATCTCTGAGAAGGGGGATAGGACAGGGGGTATCCGGGCGAGGTGAGGTAGTTGGCGGTTGAGATTCTGATGTTGCCTCCACATTTATCTGCCAAGGGAAGCGAAAGAAAATAAGTTTTTTCAGGAAAATAAATTTATATTTCACAATTCTGATGCTCAAATTTCATACATTCGTATCATAGCTACATTATAGCGGCTTATAGTTGGACTAGACCAGAAAATGTGCAACTTCCTTAAGACAGGACAGATTCAGAGAAACTTTTTCTTCTCTAATAGGGTCCAAAATATCTGTCTGTCTTATACAAAGTTGAATTGGTCAAGACAAACAAATGTTAAAGAGTCTGCACAGACTTTAACTGGCACACAATGTATATGTATGTTGGTATTTAGTATCATGATTAATAATATTATTATTATTTATGGTGAGTTCTTATGGAGCAGCCTTGCTGTGGCACACTGAGATGAAAGTTACATTCAGATGAAGGAACAGTTCCTCACATTAGAATAAGAAAAGGAGCAGCTTTGGGTAGATGTATGAATGCAAATTAAAAAGTGTGAATGGAGAAGCTTCAGTGAAAGAAAAATAGTTTTTGTTTGGCCGAAGCGGAAAGTCCCAGTGATTCGTCTGTTCCTCTAAGCTACACTATGAGTTTCACCATTAAAGGAATTGTGCTTTTCAGAGGGCCATAACTCACATTTATCTTCATTCGCGCGCGTTTTCATCATTTTAAAATAAAAGCTGCCAACATCTGCTGCTTTAATACTCACGCGCACACACACACGGAAATCAGTTAAATCGGAATAAAATGAGTGAGGAATGAAAGCGCAAAGTTCTTACAGCACGTACGAATAGAACAAGGGGAAGTTGTGTAAACCGAGGATTTGGGCTGACTATTTGAACTTCACAAAAACACACAGCATGTTAACCGATAGCTGGCCCCAACAACACGGGATACAAACGTGCTCTCAAATGAGCTTCTGATATATTACAACCATCACAATAGACTGTAATTGCGCGAATACAAATAAAGAGATATTTAGGGATATTATGAGGGCATCATGGGAGATAAAAACGCCTAACATTGGAATACTGGAGGGATAACATGAATAAAAAAGGTATAAAATAAAGAGGAAACACAATTAAATAGGGCCATGAAGATCTATAGTCGCTGTTGAGCAATAATATTGAAGTCTCTGTTGAAATATAATAACAGGGATTTTCCCGAGGTGTTGGCAGAATGGGCAGGTGAGCGCCTTGCGAGTTTGCCAAAATATCAGCGGAGATCAGAGCAGGCTAATCTTTTAGAAAAATATTGGGATTAGTAGCTTTGCAGTGTACACAAAAGCTTTATTTATACTGATATCAGATATCACACTTACCGTTTTTGAAAGCCTTGACCACCAGAAGGATTCCCATGAACAGGATCAATACTAATCCACAATGCATCCTTGTTTCCTCACCCAAAAAATAAAATTACGCATACAAAAAGATAAAAAACTCCGTAAAGAAACTCCTCCGGCAGGTTCTTCTACGAGAGTATTCTTCTCTCGACTCGACAAAATAAAGCGGGAGCGTCTCTTTTTTCTTTTTTAACGAAGTTAGAAGTGTAGGGGCTCAGGTCGCTGGCATCCTGTCATTCAGCTCCTGTTTCCTCTCGCCTGTGCCGGCTGCGCTCCTCTCTCTAGCACCCACCGTGCCATATCCTCCCCGAAGAAGCCCAACGATGTGGAAGAAGAAATGACCCACTCCCCGTTTTCGTTGTTGCGTTCCTAGTCCGTCAAACGATGCCCGGGCAGGAGGTAATCCTTGGCTGTGGGAAGGAAAAGAGATGTGAACGGAGGTGTGAGCAGGGTTTGGGAGGAATACGCGCTTGCATGCGGTCGCCGTGCGCTCTGGACGTTCCGCGGGTCCGTCTGTATACGCGCTGCTGCCGATACAAACACAGCTATAAGAAAAGGGCACAGATGCACCCCCCTTCACCCAAAATTGTGACCACTTTTGCTTCTATAGGCTCAGAGTGGGTGACTCGGAGAGGAGGATGATTGGCTTGATGACAAACAGCCAACCTATGTGGGTAAAGCCTCGTGTCTTTATATGTAAGCGGAGCCGCATACTGAGTCACAGAGTACCAGCAGTCCGTTAAGTGACATGACTCTCTCTCTCCGTCTCTTTTACTCTCTCTCTCTCTCTCCCTCCCCTCCCGTCCACTCCCCTCCTCTCTCTTCTCTTACAAAAAAAGAAGCTATCATTAACCTGAGACGTAGTACCAGAGCAGGACTCTAATTTAAAAACATTAATTTGGGGAATCACCGTGTACCGAATATGATATTTATCGAAAAGAACCATGGATTTTAACAATTATAAACGCAGATTACAATGAAGAGGGGTGTTTCTTTGAGGGTGTCCTCCTCCGCTTCTATCTGGGACTGATCATGTTATGTGACACAAACTAAACTACCTAATCTACGGAAGTTCTCTTTTGTGTCTCCAGATCAATCCAGCTCGGATTGAAGCATATCTGCACCGCAGTCCTTGTAATAGGCCCAGTTTGTTTTGCACAGGAGCTAAATAATAGAAAGTGCCCCCCCCTCTTAGACGTTGTGGGTTTCTTTTGTGCACCAGCAGCTATCCAGATGCGCCGATTGTCTGCCCCACAACAGTGACACCATTAAACTGGCACTCCGATATTTAGGGGAAATCAATTAAAGCGTAAATCTAAGTAGCCTCGAGTCATTTACTCGAGGCTGCCCTTACTGGGTCACTCTGCGCGCACGCACACACACACACACACACACACACACACACACACACACACACACACATACAAAAGGAACGGAGCAGCAAAGCCTAAATTGGAACATATACTGTCAAAATCCCGCAGTAACACAACGCATGGCAATTCACGATTATACAAATAAAAAAGTTTGAATATGCATGTTGTAATCTAAATATTACCAAAAAGAATATACCAAAAATAAACCAGGAACAACAGCGGGATCATATGAGATCAAATTTGTAGAATTGTTGGTGAAATAGTGGGAAAGTGGTGATAAAGCTATCATCATGTCAGTGCTCTCTCACGCAGCGGTAATTCTTTCAGCCCTATGCGGTAAGTCAAATAAAAACAGCTGCATTCACCTGCGTCTTGAGGACTCGCAAAGCCGCAGGCATCCAGCACTCCTCTCTCCACTTCCAACATGCGTGGAGGAGCGGAGTGCAGCTACGATCCGACAGGCTCCCTCCGATTCTGTTCAAATGACACCAGATCTTCTCCGGAGACTCATAAAAGCAAGTTATTCCCCCCAACTCCTCCTTTTTTTGTTGTACACCGGGGGAGAAACACAGCGCAGTCCAGTTTGGTCCTGGGTCCCCACCGCGCAAAGACGCACAAGCCGACAGCCGGCGACTCGCTCTCCTCTCTCCGTACAGACTAGTCTCCTCCCCGGAGCTGATCTCTCCGGGTCTCTCTCCTTGTTTCGCCCCCTTTCATTCGGCGCTGTCACAAGTGAAATCCGGCCAGTGTGAGGGTAAAAAAATAAGCAGTCCCCAAAAATATCAGAGGGATCGAAAAAAAATTATCATTAAGATAAAAGGTAAAAGTCCTGGTTGATCTGTTGCAAGTTTTTTTTCTTCCACTCCGTCCGTCTCTTCGCGCGCCACCGCTCTCGGCTCCTCACGCTGATGCAAATGCAGAGGGTTTGAGTCCCTGCCAGCGCCACACGCCCCTTTACGAGGCATGAGTGCGCGCGCGCGTGGTTGTTTGCGTGCATGTGTGTGTGTGTGGAGGGGGTGTCTCCGCAATCGAGATGCAGATTTCACACAACTTCCTCTCTCTCTCTTCCCGTCAGCCCTTAGCTTTCTTTGGACGCATCAGAAAGTCACATTAGATAGAAGATGCACTAACCCGATGGTGTCTCTGAACGTGTCACACAGCAGAAAATGAGTAAATTAGTCATCTGTGGTTTGTACCTTCCTTTGCTGTGTCTGCATGTTTTCGAGTGGTTATATTTATTCTCTTCTATGGCAGGATTTTTATACATGTATTTATATGTTCATTGAAGGATGTACAGTTTTTAAAGCAAGAATGTATTTTAAAGCCAACTCTGCCTTTTGACTCCTGCAAGCAGAACCCTGATCACTAATCCACTGCACCTGCATAAGCTTCCCTTGGAATGAATGGCCAATGGCGTGGAGGATCCCCCCCTCCCACATGAGGACATTTTATTATGGTCTGCAGCTGAGGCCTTCTGCATCTCATCTCATGCAAGTTAGGGTTTGGGTTAAGGTTACAAAAATAGGCACAGCCTGAGGTGGGCGTGGCATGACGTGGTGTGAGGTGCAATATGGTCCAGCTGTGGCCTGTAGCACCTCACGCCACGCCTACATCACGGTCCCTTTGGCAGGGGTTAGGGTTAAGCTGACTGGATTTGGGTTAGCGTGAGGTGGGAGTGAGAGGGCAACAAGATGGCAAGCAGAAAGTCCAGAGTGTTACGACGCGACACGGAGGCAGCGGCAGACTGAGAAGCTCTGCCCCACCGTGCACATTTGGGGGGTGTCAAGCACTCTGGCACGTGAGGCTTGACCTTGGTGGTAGCCAAGGTGTACCTTGTTACTTCCCTAAATATGCCCTGTTCCCAGGTATCCCCAGTGGTCGGAGAGGATTGCCGGGGAGTCCGAGGACACAGCAGCAGACGCCAATGAGGACCATAACACGGGGGCGGCTGGCCAGTGGTTGATCCCCCCCCCTCTTTTTAATTGGACCTTTCAATTTCTTTCTTATTGTGCTGGACTTCGATTCATTTTAGCTTCCTGCTTAAATTGTTTGTACTGACACATTGTTACCGCAGGCTAGGCCTACTGTGCTGAACTTTCATTTTAGCTTCCTGTTTAATTAACATTTACACATAGTCGTTTTGTAGAATATTTGAGAGAGTGTAAATACATGTATACTTTTATACTTCATCATCACAGTAAATCTGTAACTCCCTGGGGGTATTGTAGGATTACTGAAGTGATATCAAAGGCACTGTTAAACTCTATACACACTACAAGTTCCACTAGAAATATCATAGGAACATCATAGAGGTACTATATGGGCTGGTGCCCTGTTTTCTGGGAGCCTATATGGGGCACAGGGGACCCACTGAGTGTGCAGTGTTGTTTCCGTGAACAAAGAAGCTGTTCTCTTTTGGTGTATGGTCAATCTGTCTGTCGCACACTGCAGACTCACTCTTGAATGACAGCATTTTGTCATGTTGACAACAATCTCCTCATGGGTGACACATTTGGAATCATGAATGATTAAAACACCAGCGATGAAATGAAAACAGGAACTGTTGAATGAGCACCACATGACAGGGAAGGATTCTGGAGATGTGAAAGAAAAACACCAAAAAAAGGACCAGCAATGGAAACAAGCCTCTTTTGGGTCAAGAGTCCCCAAGGTTTGAATAATGAACGACCCTCTAAATGAGTCATTCACAAAGCCTTATTTTAAAACTCTTTTTCAAGGCAATGCCATAATATATTTAAAACTGATTCAAACTAACAGTGGAGAGAGCAACACTTCAGACAAAAAAAAAAAAAAATCCATTCAAATTTTTTCTCATTGTGCAACTCTCCAGAAAGGCGAAGTGAAACTTAAAAAGTACCCTGACCCTGCTTCTCTAACCACCGTCACTGGACCTCGAGGATTAAAAGCCTAGCACACACTGCTGCTGGACTTCTCTGCTGTTTTAGCTCAATCGAATGCAATAACCGCAGGTTTCCAGCTGCAGGTCTCCGTGCCTAGGAGCCTTCTGCCCTGTAGGGGGCATCAGAGCTGGCGAGCAGCTCGGAGGGAGACACAGCCACCCTTTGCTCCTCACCCGCTCACCTCACTGTAATGCCTTTGAGATTGCACAGCTGGGTTTTTAGAAACAAGTGTGCTGATTAAAGTTTTTTTTTTCTTTTTGGCAGACTCGAGACTCGAGTCAGACTTCCCATGGGTCTGCATCACTTCCACGCACTGTGTGTAATAATCTGCTTGTTTTAAGAAATAAACCGCTGTGTCGCCCTTAGCAGGAATGCGAGCGGCGCTGTCGATTCAGGAGGTTGTCGTGCTTTATGCGCATCGAGACGTCCCCCTGTTGAAAAGTTTTTGTGACACAAAAGAGCAAGATAAGCCTACAATCCCTGCACGTGATTATTTTCTGTTCCTAGAGAGAGGGGGAGAGAGAGAAGGAGAGAGAGAGAGTGGCTTTATTCCCGTCCCAGCCTTAGTAATTCTCTGTCTTGCTGATAACACAGATGTTAAAACGGTGCCGGGCATCTCTATCAAAGGCAGCACTAACTAGCCTTTCGTGTCTTCAGGATAACACGGGAACAATGGCTTAGAGTCATTTCACAAGGGTGCCTGCCTGTGCCGTATCTAAAATGAGGGGTTGTGGGGGATTGTAGGGGAACAATAAAAGAGCCATTTAAGGGATTTGCTTCTTCACATACTGTATATCCGCACTAATCTTTAGTACAGCCCCGATGAATAATTAGCTCCGGTACAAAAGCAGACATTTTATGGCTCCTGTGAGCACCGGACTTGATTTCATTAGCCTGGCCTTTATTCACTGACGTGAGCGAGTCGTAGTGAAATGTGCAGGTCCAAACCATTTGGCACAAAGTCAGTGTGAGCGTTCCACCTCAGTTTATGATTGAAAAGTCTGTCTCGGAGTCATCTGCCAAGAATTCGGGCATGATCTCACACTTTTTTTGTGTCGTTTCGAGTTCGCGGTTACAGACGGGTGAAAAATGAAAATGAATTATATGAGTCCATGCAGTTCACAAGGGCTCACTGAATGGTTGGATAAGTGATGATTTACGGCCTTCAGAACTCAACCCAGCTGAACACCCAAGGGAGACTGTGCACCAACATTGCAACAATAGAGTTCAGTGCAGTTCAATTCTACAAGTCTTGTAGAATCTATACCAAGGAGCTTCCTGAGTGACAGTGAAGCTGTTGTGTGTGATCATGAGGTGCAGATTCGTCCAATGTGGAGTTGTTCTCATCACGAACATTGATCTATCAGTAAGATTTAATGAGACATTTTGGCATCTCTGATATACTCCTCTCTAAGGGTTTGTTGTGTAGTCCGGTTGAATGGAACACTGCTTCTGTTTCCCCATTGGTACAATTCATTTGGAAGGAACTTGTGGTAGAAACATGATCTAAACCTTGATCATCAGCTAAACGCCTCCTGCAGCAATGAGCGAAAGTGTCTAGCAGCTAGCCTTAGAAATAATCTGACCTGGCTCAGCAAGGAAATATATTTCCTTTTTCAATTTGGGAAAGGACCCTCTTCAGGAACCTTCCTTCGCTTTTTACCTCCTTCCTTTGGCCCCAGACACACTTAACCAATGAGCAGAGGGAAAGGTCTCACCTGGCTTGTAATGATGCGTTTTGGTTCACTTGAAACCAAAACAAGGAAAAAACTCAACAAGTTGAACTACTTGGACCACAGGAAAACACTCTATAGGTTATATATCCGCTACCATTACAACTGGACTAATCACTATCCTGGTTACCCCTCCAAGCTTAACAGTACGCAAAACAGTTTACTGGGGAGGCAAACCAAACCAGCTAGCAGCATCGGGAGGTTAAGATGGACCACCCATTCAGAGATTTTGTCCATTTTCCGCTTGCAGCTGCACAGCCAGGCCTGATATTTTCATCACCGCTGCCCCAAATGACTGGGTGCAGGTTCCAGTCCTGACATCATATCATCCAACGTATGTTGCACTGATCTCAGTCAGAAACTGAATCTTGCTTGCTGCTGTCATACGGACCATTTAATCTCTTGGATTCATGCGCTTAAAACCCCAAACCTTTTTTTTTTTTTGATATGAGCTACACCATTTCCATCTTGGCAGTGTTTCCTCTGTGAAAACAAGATGTACTCTGACTGTCACAGAGCGCATCGGAGACATCACTGTGGCACACACTCTGGACTGAGTTCAGTATGAGATGACAGATATGGAATATTTAAATGGATGTTCTCGTTCCACTACATTACAAAGTGGATTAGAGGTGTAGACCATGAACTTTAAAAAAAGACCTTGTTACCTACTAATCATGCCGTGTTCCAGCTC